GTCTTTTATGTATGAAAAACTGGCACCCTGCTATTCCATCTGGAAACCCTCCCCTTTGACAAAGAGTGTCAGAGAACGCAGGCAAATTAGTGACTAAGTGGAAACGTTAAGCCTGAGCTTCCACTGTTTGGGGCAGGATCCCTTAGTTCACTTGGCCAGCAGAGACATGCTCTCACAGTGTTACTAACCCTTTCTACCAGCTCAGCTCTTCTAAAGCAAATGAAAATCATGGCTTGATTGCTGTTGGAACACGTGGGGTAAGCCATGGCTGATAGTGAGGAGATGTAGAACATATAATTGTTTGATTTACATCTAAATCTATGTTTCTACAGCTCTGTGTCCTAAGCAAGGTCCTTGTCAGAGCCTTTTTGGCTTGTCTCATAGGCACCCTCAGGGTATCTAGTCCACCGGCTGTCCACCTTGACAAAGTACGGATTCCAGCAGATGATTCAAGAGTATGAGAGAGTCTCATCTCTCACTGATTTGGATCACCCCAGCCACAGTCCGCCTTTTAAGTATCCACAGCTGTTGTTCTAAAACCAGAGTTGCTTTGGTTTGACTCATGGTAGCACTGCATCTTGGGATATGGGGAAATAGAAATATCAGTGTCACTGAGAAGACCCTATCACTTCTATTGTACTTTTATACTTAATAAAAGGCACATTTATTGCAAAGAAGCCTGTCTGGAATTCTGTCATTTGTTACTGATTATTGCTCTTATAAAGGATTATGTATTTTCAAATTTATTTAATGTAAACTCTCTTAACCAGGACTTTATTAAAATTCATATAGGGACTAAATATGAATATTATAAAGAAAGCATTACTGAAAAATTCATGGGAATAGTGGTAAATATAAACCAAATGTAAAAAGTATCTAAGAAAATTGCCTTGTTTGAGAACCCCAACTCTTACTAAAATAGATAAGCTAATTCTAATTTTTTTCTCTATTGATTTGAGTGCACTCTTGGGAATTCCATTAAGCCACATTTTGTTGGCTGAAATTAAGTCATGCAAATAATAAAAAATGCATTGCCTTTTAAAAAATACCCTATAATTAGAATGGTCACTAATTCAAACTGATCTTTTTTATAACTGGTCTCAATTAGTGAGGCTTTTATAGAATTACTAGCCACCATCAATTTAATATGAAATGATGTAAAATTACTTTACATAGTCCTTTAGTAATAACCATAGTTAAGAATATCAGGCCAATAGGAAAGAAAATTTTACCTAGGGAGTTCACATTCTTCTCCTCCAGTGTATGATGGGAACTCTGATTTTCTTTTCCTTTTTTCTTTTTTTTAAATTGATGGCTCGCTGCTCTGCCATTTCTTTTTATCATTGAGGAAAATAAAACATAGACAAACACATAACTCAAATGCAGCTCTGAAACCGAATAAGGTAGCAACCTGTTATTAAATTTGAGCAGTCTCACCACTTTTAAAAAGAAGAATCAGGTTTCAGGCTTTAGCTTTGTGCCTGACATTTAGACTTTGGAATAATCATGGTCACTGAATCTGAAGCACTTGATGCTAGGCAGACTATGGACTGATGGGAAAACTTAATGAGTTACTATTTCTTTCTAATAGTTCTAGCCATATACTTGTTTTCCTTCCCAGATGCAATGTGGTACAGGATTTCCTATTGTATAACTGGTGGGTGAATTCTTAAATCATAGTGCTGTTTGTGGCACTGTTCCAGGTAGATATACAGGGAGAGTCTCCACACTGCCAGTGTCCTTTCCCTAGCTATCTACGGAGGCTGTAATTCTATGACAAAAGCTCCTTTTTTCAAGAAATAGATTCACCAGGAAGGTAACTAGGTATCGAAATATGGCAAATGTTACAAAGGATTTTTAATCCCTCTGGTGCCAAATCTTCATTGTTTGATGGGTAAAGAGATCCCCAAGGAGGTGAGATGAGTCGAAGTGGTAATATTTCACACGTGCACTGGCCCCAGGTGTCTCCTAAGAACATGCGTGCTATTTGGAACCTGAGAGAAGGTAACACGCAGATGCTTATGCAGTGGCAGTTCAGATTTACAAAGGCAGTAACAACAAATCACTGTCAACGCGGGTCAAGTTCCGACTCAAAAGTTATTTAACTGTCAGTTTCCTTTGGGGTTATCCCTCCCGTCATTCAGATGGTCCTCACTGATGTGGAAGCACTAAAAAATGGCGAGCAAAAGTCCTTAAACAATCCTCTCAGCTCTGAGTTCCCACTGGAGTTCCTGTAAGTCCCTGGAGTGTGGCCTCCTGGACACACATTAGATATTATCCAACTAGAAAGCATTGGCCCCTATCATTCAGGATATGGAAATTGCTGCTGCTGTAACTAACCAGTGTATGCACTTAGTTTTAAATAGGGTGTGGTTTACAAGAGTTTTAATTTATGGCCATGGACATTACCCACTTCAGGTCTAATTTCAGCTGGAACAGTTATTTGACAAGGCATTCATGTGGCTAAGAACCTCTGCCTCTTTTATTTAAGCTGCTGATAGATTTAGCTGTTCCCTTTTTGAAGATTTGCACATTTCCTGGCTTACTTGGAACTGGTACCATGTGGGATCAAAGACAACTGGAGACCCTGTATTAATTCTAATAAATGTTAAAACAAAAGTTAAGCTCCATTGTCTGGTTTCTGTTGTAACTGGAAAGAATGGCTCATTCACAAGAAGAAAATGAATAAAAAATTAGGAACAGTGTGCCTTATCTATTCCAAATGTGGACATAGATCTCTGTTTTGTTTTTCTTTCACTATATCATACAGCAAAAAAAGTCCCATTTGGCAACAACTCTGGGGCCTTCATCTGGGTCTTCTGCTCTTGGGATGGGAGGAACCAACTCCATGTATAGCCCTGGCTCCCCTTTCTTGTTCCCTCGCTTCTGCTTCTATTGTTGTAGAGAGGCCCATGATGACAGTGGCATTGCTGTCCCTGTGCCATGCTTCTTCAACCTCCTTTGCTGATACATGTGAGCATGGGCTGGTATTTGGCAATAATTTTGCTTTAGAGGAGACATAAAACATCTGTCAACTTTGCTTGGGGATTGGCCCCCGATGCTAGCCTGAACTCGATTTCATGGGCCATCTCCTGAACTCGTCTCATTGTTCAGGACTTGGAGCCTCCAGGATGACTGTTTTCTCTCCCTGGAATCATGGTCCTCAATTTATAAATCTACGACAAAGAATCATAGGGGAATAAAAGGAACATAAAACCTGGAAAACTAAATTCCAACTGATGGCAAGTGGTCTAGTTTTTAATTTTTCACATGTGATATTTTCTCAGGTTTTTTAGTCACCAAAAATGTTTCTGCAAGTTAGTAGAGAGTCTGTAGGATTGTAATAGAGTTTTATTGTATGAGGGATTCAGTGATTCCCAGATATTTCAAGAGAACTGAAGATTGTTAGGTTTATCAATTACTGATATGATTATGGAACCCAATTTCTAAATTTGGCCTGAGGTGAGTTTCAGTTTCCTCATAAGTAAAATGGGGAAAATTTGGTGTGAACATTAATGAAATGGTGCATACAAGACAGTACTATGCCTGGCTTGGAATAAGCACTCAACAAATGGAAGAGCATGTACACACACACACACACACACACACACACACACTGTTTTATTTCCACTTTCACGTCTTATCTACTTACACCTTCTATTCAGAAAGCCCCTTTATCTGTATATCTAGCCTTTATATCTGGCCTAATATCTAGTGCTTAACCAGCTGTTACTTATATTCCCATTTAGCTGTCCTTTAAATGGTCACATGTTTCTTTGGCCTAACGACTGTGCTGTTTGAAGGGAACCCATTACAATGGTGATTTTAGGATTCACAAAATCATGTAACTTTAGAACTTGATTTAAAAGATGAGGACTATGAGGTCTAGAGAACTGAGATAATATCCCCCTGATCACGCATTTTCCAATCTAGATTTCTGGGTTGTCAATGTTGTCTCTTACACATACAACAGAGTTCTTTGGAGCTGAGAGAGTCTGGTCAAAGCTCAGGATTCAGATTGAGGAGGGATTAAGTTTGTAGGTAACCGAGGACTTCATAGTGATAAGATGGTTACAATGTGTGTGAGCTTGTTCAAGTTACTTAACTGATTTCTCCATTTCTAAAATAATATACACCCTACTTATCTCACAGGATCTGTGAGATCTAGATTATAGAGAATGTTGTGAGTAAATAGTTTGTAAAATGGGAAAATATTAAGTCACAAATAGTGGCTTGTGGTCCTCCAGTTTTCAAAGTAATAAGTTCTCCAAACCAGTGGTCCATGAGGTCCAAAAGGTTGGCGACGGCTAGTTTAAGGAAACCTTTGTAGCAGCGGTCACCAACTGGGGGTTCGTGAGGTCTGAAAGGTTGGCGACCACTGCTCTGGACAGTCCAAATAGGAAAGAAATTTTACTCCTTTTAAAGAATATTCTCAGAACATTCTTTTAGCTGTAGCAAAGAAAACTAAAATTAATTATTATATTTTTAATGGGTTAGGAGTTGAATGTATTTGACTTGGAACCTTTCATCATTCTCTATGACTCTCAAAATGAGAGAATTGCTAAATTGTCCTCCTTTATGGAAAAGGAATTCACATGTCTGTGTATTTCTCTTTCCTCCCAGCCCCGTGAAATTAGGCTTATCATGGGCTCAGCAGATTTTTTGGCTGATTTTAGTTAAATATTTTTTTCCAGTTAGAAAAAAGTCATTCCACACATTGCAGTGTAATTCCAGTGATATAGACCCAGCAACTCAAGGGTGGGACCTCCCCAAGTTGTCTGGAGGGAGGCTTGGAAATCCCTTACCTACTATAGCCAACTACACACCATGTTCCCCCTTTGGGATTTATGGTTTAATTTTCTTTCATATTCTCACTTTATTTAAAGGGCTGGGAGATTATGGGTGACCAGTCTGCATCTTAATTAATGTGAGGGGAGGGGAGTTGTGAATTGAATACAGGCTTTCCACTGGCTTTTGAGGAAAAGATCCCATGAATGATCCCTCGGTCTCTGTTTTCAGATCAGACTCCGACCCCAACGAGATTCCTGAAGAACTGCGAGGAAGTGGGACTCTTCAATGAGCTGGATTGCTCCCTAGAGCATGAGTTCAGGAAGGTTCAGGAGGAGGAGAGCAGCAAGCGGGTAGGTTTGCTGGGATGGACACCTCGAGAGGTGCCTCCTCTAGCACCGGGTGGAAACCCTTGGTGGAAATGGATGGCACTGCAGGTTGATTTCTAATGTGGCCTGGCCCTTAAACAGTATTTTATCCATTTTGCAAATGTCTGTTTAATGTTTTGTTTTGTTTTAAAAAAGGATGAATCCCTGATTGTGATAGAACCCGAAGCTAGAGAAATCATGGAAAAAACTGATTTCTGAAATACTAAATTCAAGCAAAACAACAACAACAAACAAATAAAAAACAACATGCTACCTGATTCTTGAATCTGAGTCAGATAAACTCACAGACATTTTCTGTTCAAAGCTAGTTGTTTTCCTAAATATTTAATAGCAAGCCTTACAAGAGTCAGAGACAACAGGTGAAAAATTATAGCTGTATTAAAGGAGGTTTCTCTAATTTTTGACCCAGGTTTTAACTTTGATGTCTATAATCTGCCCAATAGATCTCTACCATGTTCACAGTTACTTCCTAGTTATATTATGGAACATCTGTTGTTATTAAAATAAATAGGTTAACTGGAGGTATGGAAAGTGTAGAAAATCCACTTTATGAATCCCCCCAGAACATATTCAGTTTTATTGTAATGTTGTGCTGGCATTTTCCAATCACTTTATAAGATTAAGGAAAGGAAATGAAGTCATAAGTAAGTGTGATAATGAAGCATTTTAGTATTTTTTCATTGTTTTTATAGAACATTATTGAGTGCCCAAAATGTACAAAACAACAAATTAGACACATTCCATGAACAGTCAGTCTTAAAATGTGAAAGTTGATTGGCAGGAAGGACCAGCTAGGTTGTAATTGATTCTGAAGTTCCAGCTGTTCCATCCGGAGAAGAAATTTTAAAAGGCTCTGATGTTTCCCTAAGTGTTTCAAAACCTTTGAATCCTCCTCTATGTGAAATTTTAATAATCCCTCTCCACCAGGTTTTTCATGTCATGTTCTCACATCAAAATAGTCAAAGGCTTATATTCAGCCCATACTGCTTTAGAAAAAAATCAGGAGAATAGGTGAAGGTTACAGTAAGAGGGCTATAAAATCTCTGTCAACTCATTTTATTTGTTTATGATTAATTTGTCATTCATACTTGATGCCTCTACCCCTACCACCTCAGTGATAGGAAGGGCCTTTTTTCTTTTTCTAAGCAAACACTTATTTAGCATTTATTTGCCAGACACTGTTCTAAGCACTTAAAAAATTAACACAATGAAAATAAAAGGCGCATATTCTATATTTCATTCCACTAGAAATAAATTTCTTAAAAAAAAACCAACCTATAAAAATAGCAAGGGAGAAGAAGAGCCCCAAACCAAACACTTGAGTAAATTTCCCCTGGTTGAGTAGTAAATTTAGCTCTCTTGATAGGCATGGCATATGTAAAAGACTAAAGGACTAAGTTAATTCATGCCTCAAGCTAGTCGAGGTTAGAGTTTTAGATTATACTGAACTATATGAAAGGTGTGTACGTGATTCATTCTGTCTTCATTTCTGATAGAGTGGATTTAACTGAAGTGGATGCCTTTGATTTTCCTAAAGACATTTACCAAGGACAGCTTTAGGAAGCCCATGGTAGGGCTGTGATTTTAGGTGGTCTCCATTATATAGACTCATGATCTCCTATATGAAGTCCCGTGGGAGGAAATTCTTGCAGATCTGAATTCCAGGAAATAGTTTGCTCCCCCTGAGGAACTGAAACATTTTTTTCTCATGGACCTGAGAATCATGTAACCGGGTCTGTTTCTCTTTTTGCTTTGAATGCTTAGTTAACATAAGCCAAACTTACTGCTTACCTTTGAGAACTTGGTAGAACATGGTCATGAGGGCATTTTACTTCCTCCAATACTAGACTTTCAATTCCAGTTTATATTTCCTCTGGTCCAGATTTTTAATTTAAGAAACATTTTCATGCTATACATTTCTTTTATGAGTTGAAAAAGAGTATAAATAATTAAGCTTTAAAAATGAAGATAATTAGGCAAGCAAAGTTGAAAAAGACGACTATTATAGTTGTATTTTCTCTTTTAAATGTCGCTCTTAGCCATGTGATGATTTCTTGATGGGTATGTACTGGTGGGAATCCTACAGCCAGATTTCCCCATGGTTTGGGGGCAGACCTCTCATCAGGTCACTGATTCATCCCCCCATGTCACTTGCATGCCCTGGAAGGCTGTTGAGGTATCCTCTTCCCTTGCCTTGTTCAAACCAGATGGGCCAAATTCCAACCTCGGGTACCGATGGCTCCACAAGAGGGCACCTTCTTAAGGCCCATTGCGTGGTGACTCGGTGACTCATCCAAATGGGCTGTATTGATGGCTTCTGCTCTAGAATTTCTTTGGAAGCAACAGGGTGGAGAAATAAGGAGGGGATGCTCTCCAATCTGCCAGTATAGTCTTATCCACCATTGGACCACATTTCTCCAGCTACCAACATCCTTGGCCTACTGCCAACCCCTGCTCCCACTTCATTTATTTGTTCCCTGCTTAACAGGTAGGAATACAGCTCTTTATTTAATGCATACCTGATTATATTGAGCGCTATGTTCTCCTTCCCTTTGGCTCCACATTCAGATAATCATTTCTTTTTCTTTCTATATCCACAGCTCTCTTCTGATTTCTTTTCCTCCTTGTCTTTTAAGAAAAGACTTGCATTCATTTCCTCAGCAAGTTTTGGTAAAGTGGAAGATGGATGAATTAATCTGAAGAATTTGCTTATAAAGTCTTGCTAGAACTCTCTAAGTACTTTATACAAAATAGTTGAAAGATTGAGGCGTTCGTTCCCTGTACCTTTAAATTCCTAGCTGTAGTTTGATCTAGTAAAGAGTAAATAGAGAGTTGATCTTTGCTTCTCCCATGTGGCTGTACAATGGGGAAAATTACGTTCTATAGACTATCCCTAACATTTTACCAAAAGTATCCCACTGTGTGCATACAGGGAGGACAGGCCAAAGGCAGGCCATTGCCACTAGAAAAAGCCCCAATGTCCATATCATAAATAGCAAGCAACACATTTTACAATTGTCTCAATTTTCTGTGTTAGTGTAAGTTCAGAGCTTCAAAACTCTTTAATAAGAGACTTTGCCCCTTGGAACAGCTTCCCTCACTAGCAGGCATCATAAATTTAAAGTTGGCCCTAACGGATTTAGCTCAGTGGTTAGAGTGTTGGCTTGTCGACTGGTCTTGGGTTCAGTTCTGATCAGGGGCACACACCTCCATTGCAGGCTTGATCCCTTGCCCCAGTCAGGGTCCATGTAGGAGGCAACCAATCAATATGTCTCTCTCACATCAATGTTTCTTTTTCTATCTCTCCCCCTCCTTTTCATTTTCTTTAAGAAAATCAATGGAAAAAATATTCTCGAGCAGGGATTATTTAAAAAAAAATTAAACTTGCCTCTGGCTTACAAATCAGGCTAGTTCATGTCCTAAAACAGATGAGAAATTATTGTTCATTATTTATCCATTCAAGAAAAATTTTCAAGTGCCCACCGATTGCCAGGCACTGTGCAAGGCATTGGTGAATATACTACTGACTAAAGCTGGTAAGAAGAAAATAAAACAATCTTGCCTTCATGTAACTTACTCCTAGTGGGCAAGACAAACAAGAAGCAAGTAAAGACAAGAAAATGTATAACTTGTCAGAAGATAAGTGTTAAGGAGAAAAATATGGCAGGGAAGGGGCACAGGGTGGTGAGGGCGGGCATGGCTGGTGATTGGACATGTGGTAGAGACCTGAAAGGAGGAGGAGAAGGCCTGAACCAGGTATGTGTTGGGGAAAACAGTATTCCAAGTAGAGAACCAATAAGGAAATGAAGTAAGGAAAAGGTCTGAACATGGAACTTGGCAGAGTCCCCCAGAATCTTCCAATACAGGGTATTCAACTCTCCTCAGGGGCCAGCAATGACACAAGATCATGAGGCATGAAGATTCAAGTCAAGTATGGAACCCCTTTCAGTAATGCTGAATGGAGTCCAACAACTGGCAGTTGGGATGCTGATTTTGTGTTCCATATTAGAGGGGGAGAAAGATTATTTAAAAAAAGAAAGAAAGAGGAGGGTGAATTAACCTTTTACATTTGATTTCTTTTTTATTAAGATTGACTAATGCAAATGCAAATCTAGGAAGCCAGAGAAGGCTTTGCCATCTGATAACAGCTTTGTGCAAGTGTACGTGTGTGCATGTGTAAGAAAAGAAGGGGAGTTGAAAGGACTAGAGATTAACTCCTTTGTCTTCCTGAGAGAGATCTAACATCCCAGCCCAACGTGGTTAAAGACCCTGAAGATGAAAAGTGCTGGTATAAGTGCTAAGTGTTGTTATTCTCCCATAGGACCTAAATCTGACTCATTATGCTGATGCAGCAATAGCAAATTAGGGCATTTCCACGCGCTAGAATTCCTACCCAAATGATGAAAAGTGCAGTCTATTCCCAGAGGGTATTGACTGTTTAACACATGGGAACAAGGGACAAGCTACAATCTTAAGATCTTGCATCCCAGCTCAACAGGAGTCACAGAACAGGGCAAGGCCGGGTCAGTCTCAGCTCAGAGGAGTAGGCTGCTCAATCTGATTAAATTCTGTACCTGGAAATCATGTTACCCGACACCACCAGCTCTTGGGAGAGAGAGGATGCAGAGAGGGAGGCGCTTTGCTTTGCTTTGCTTTCCTACACAGTCTTGCTCTATCAGTCACTAGCTGGCCTGGCTGCTCTCTGGGGAAGGTGTGAGTGGCGCTGGATGGAAAAAGAAAAGACACAGAATTGAGCAGACTTGCAACAGCTGCATGTTTCCGGTTGTGTCATGTTTTCTATGATATTTGTGTAAAACTATCCCCCTGTCCCCCAGAAGTCAGGAGGAAAGAATATCCTGAAACCTAAACTTGGTTTTATCCGAGTATTTAAAGTGTCACCATGCTTGTTAAATTGTAGTGGATGAGACTGTTTTTGATCTTTTTGGATTTTTTGGTTTTGTTTT